TCGTATGTTAATGTAGTTTATACCAGCGGTCGCCAACCGGTGGTCCGTGGACCACTGATGGTCCGCATGTAAATTTAGGTGCTCCGCAGAAAAATTTGAACAGCTAGAAATAAGTAAAGCTCTACGACTTGCAGTGACTACATTGAAACCCAAATTGCAAGAAATTCTTCAAAATAAACAAGAACAAATATCACATTAAAATTTATTAAAACTTACTTTCATCATAAATAAAAATAAAACCTTTTTTTATTATTTTACTTATGTATTTTTTTTTTTATTAATTTGATGTAAAATTTATCAGTAGTGGTACGGTATTTATGTAATAAAACTATTTTAAGCTCTAGGTGGTCCTTATAATTTAGAATATGGTTTCAGTAGTCCGTAAGGTCCAAAAGGTTGGCGACCGCTGGTTTATACAACCATAATAACACTATTTAAACCAATAAACAAACGAATTGTATTTAATTTTGTTATATTCACCATTAAGTTATTATTCTGTATTTTGAAGAATATTTTCTGCACTATTCTATCATATTCTATCAACATTCAACTATAACACTTTTTACAATGGCTCCAGGAGGTAAATCCGCGAGTAAAGCGATGAAGAAAGCGTCCGGTAAGGTACAAAAGAACATCTTCAAGTCCGATAAGAAGTGTAAGCCGAAAATGGAGGGATCGTATTCCATCTACATCTACAAAGTGTTGAAACAAGTACATCTCGACACCGGCGTCTCCTCAAAGGTCATGAGCATCATGAACAACTTTATCAATGACATTTTTGAACATATCGCAGCCGAATCTAGCCGCCTTGCTCACTACAACAAGCGTTCGACCATTACCAGTCGGGAAATTCAAACTGCCGTCCGACTTTTGTTGCCTGGAGAGTTATCTAAGCATGCTATTAGTGAAAGTACAAAGGCCGTCATAAAATACACAGGTTTCAAATAAGCGTTTTTATTTGGCTTGCTGCTGTTTCGCATTTGAAAAAATGGGCCTTTTCAGGGTCACCAAAATGATTATAAATTATTATATTAATAAATTAAATAATACTTGTTCAATAATACGTATATTATTTAAATAATAATTATTATTTATTATATACATACACAAAATCCATCATTTTTATAAACTGTGACGTGAAATGAAAACAATTTTCAATTTGTTAATAATCGTAGGATTGATTAATTTTCAGTGGTCGTATTTTTGGCCAATTGTAAGCTCCTACACTAATAAGTAATAACCTTTTAAAATTTTTACCTGAAAATCAAAGATATTATAATTTTCTACATATAAATTTTTCCCCTTTAAAAAATAGGGTAATATTACTTAAAACTACGATTTTGAAGTTGAAAAGCTCAAAATTATCATAACTTGAAAATAATAAATATATGCCATATATGAAACATACATTAAAATTAGAAGCAGTCATACAATACAACGCAGACAGACAAAAACAATTTCTAAATATCAATTCTTACTTAATCAAAAAAACAAATATATACGAGGAGAAATTTCACGTTTAGATTTTATTTCCAAAGTATGCCATAAAAATATACGTAAATGATTATGACTAAATGTTGTTTTATTATTTTTTTTTCACAATATTTTTGTTTTAAACGTAAGTGATTATGACTAATGTTTTATTAAATTTTTCAAACAATTTTAAATTTTTATTCTATGTGTTAATATTGCAAGACTGATATTTTATTACAGCAATACGAACGGTATTAATTTTTTGTAGGAGTTAACACTATCTTTTGTAGGAGATCACACTATATTTGTAGGAGTTTACCATTCCCCGTATTTTGATATGTATAAGGTTAAAATAATATTACCTGAATTTTTAGATCATTGGTCGAAGGAAAATCTTTTAGAATCAATATTTTAATAGATTTTATAATAGCTATAACTTACTTTAAAATTATCAAATCAATAAAAGCATATGGCATTTTCAAGATAGTATAATATTAGATATGCAACATACGTGTACCTACGACACTATGATGATAATAATTAAGTTCGGCTAATATAAATTAGTTGAAAATTCAAAAATTCATATTATCATTGATGAATTTTATTTATACAATTATTTTGATAGCAATCATTATAAGTTTTTCACGGTATGGCATAACTGCGATGCTATGTCGAACCATATAAAAAGATACCGTAGAATAGTTTAAATAAAAAAAAGAAATATAGAAAAATTAAGAAATCTATAAATGTATAACATTTTATATTTCAATAGAATATTAATTGTTGAACATACTCGTTTATTGATTTTAAATATTTTTATGAAATGGTTGCAAACAAATTACATCAATTTAGCAATTATTTCTAATATGAATCGAAGTTTATATTGATTATAATGTTTAACACGTTGACTGCGTATGTCTTTTCGCAGTGCCCACCCAGTGCGTATGTTACTTTTTTCGTCAAATCTAATTTTGGTACTAAGAAAAAAGTTTTTAAATGTGTTCAATAACTTTATTAACCATTTTTTTTTCAACTTTTAGCTTTTGAACTTTCATGACGCCAATTGGCGTCGTTAGCGCCACTGATTTTTTTTTTCAACAGTGTGCATGGACGCCAATTGGCGTCTTAATTATTTTCGTTGATTTTTTTTAGAAATTCAACGGAAGTATATATACACAATTAAATAAAAAATATACAAGTATTACGAAAATCATTAATAAAATTAATTATTATTATCTGAAAATTAAAAATTAAAAAAAATACAATTTATTGTGTATGCAACGATAAAAAAAAATATGAATAATACTAATTATATAGTTTTGTAGAAACTAAAAATTTAAAAAAATACAAATTATTGTGAATGAAATTTTTTAAAACATGTTGTAATACACAAACTTGGTTTTTTGGGCAAGCGTCACAGTATAGTATGTACTATCTTTTCTGAAACCGTTTTTGTAGCACAGCTGACATCTTTTCCGCAAATTTCTCCCATTTTCACCCATTCCATACGTTGATGGATCATGTTTTTCGATGCTCAATGACTTTGAAGGTACTTCCGGTTTAGGTAATATATTACTTAGAAAAATTATGCGAAAATCATATAAACTTAATGTTTTACCAATTTTATGTTGATTATATAAATTGTACGAGTTCAAAAGTAGCATTTGTATAATATGTATACCTAGCTTTTTGTATCACCTGATAGTTTTTCTTGAGAAAGAGTAATAGCTATTCATCTGGTCCTGTCTGTCGATTCCGCTCATAAACTTGTTATAATGTTTAATTGGTGATGGTTTAAGAGTTTCTCTACTCTTACGATTAGTCGTTGGCACCAAATCATTTTGAAACTCAGATGAAATGTACGTCACCTCCCTTTTGTCTTTCCACTTTCCTATCATAACATTATTTGAATATTTTGAAACTGTTTCTCCAACTTTAAATTTAGCAGTTACTACGTCCTTTGAAGTATTTAGTCTATTCGCCCTCAACGTGCCGGTACAATAAGTATTTTTTTCGAGCAGTTTTTGGGTCAAATCATAACTATTACAAAAATTGTCCATGAAAATTGAGTGACCTGTGTTTAGTTTTTCTTCCATCAGGTGTAAAACAACATTTGCTGCATGTTCTTTTCCACCCAAATCATCAGAAGCCCCAGTATATACTGCAAATTTTATTATGATACCATTAGGCTCAGTAAGCATGTATAATTTTATGCCGTACTTATGACATTTATTCTGGATAAACTGCCTGAATAAAAGACGTCCTCGCCATAATACCATTGATTCGTCTAAAGAGAGCTCTTTACCGGGATAATACACATTATTCGTTTTGTTATTGAAGTAATAATTAATCAGAGGTCTTATTTTAAAAAGTCGATCTGAATCATTTGAACCTATAGAATTATCAGAAAAATGTAAATTTCGTATAATAAGTAACGGTCTCGACCCATATAGTTTGAAAAACAAGTAAGATTAAAAAGATGATGTTTTTTCCAATAGTCATTTATTCGACTTAATTGTATTATTCCTGTATGTATAGTGAAACCTATAAATATTAACATTTCTTCTGATGTCACTGGTTTCCATAGTGATATACGACTTCTTGGATTCGCAGCAAGCCTAAGAAATTCATACTCGGTATATTTGTTGGTTTCTTTCACCAATAAATTCAAAAATGTGTCGTCCAAAAATAATCTAAAAAAATCATACGGATTTCCTTCTCCTGGTATAGGTACAAGAAGTTGTTTTTATTTAGTGAAAGGAAATTGTAGCAAATTTGGATTATCTTAGGCTTGCCATTTGTCCCGGTGCCCCGGCCAGTCATTAATTTTGTCCCGATTAATGGAAGCCGAGCTAAAATAACTTTAACATTATATTATTTAATATCGAAACATGGAATAATATTGTACATAATATAATTACATCATTAAATGATAATCGTATTATGTTATCTGTTGACTGTTTATTATTTCCATATAATTATATACTAACATACTAAAAAAAAAAAGGTTATTTTAATATGTTGTCCCGGTTTAGTGATTTTAAAATCTGGCAAGCCTAGATTATCTTGCCAAATAATTTGAGGGGGTTGAGTATCAAAGTTAGAAACATCATCGAAACTAGGCACTGTAACTTCATTCTCATCTTCGCTTTCAGATGAGTTTTCGTCAGATAAAATCCCTACACTACATATTCTACCAGAATCATCAAAATCAAAAAGATTGTCTTCTTCATCTAAGTCTAATAGCAACAGAATTTCGCGTTTATTGAGGAATTTACCAACATAAGCCCTTTTAGGTCGTGATGGACCAGTCTCATCTCTATCCATGATAATATATATAATATTTCTCCAGCTTATATATGAGCATTAAACATAGTACATACATATTATAACACTATAGAATTGATAATATTATATTGTACAATTTTATAATTAGGTTATAATTAAAAATTTTAACTAATGTTAAAGAAGTAATGTAATACGTATATATAGAAAAATTTGATATTCACCTAATTCATAGTAGGTATTATTTATATTATAATTTACTATACAAGTTGCTAGTGTTATTGTTAAATTTGAATATGATTGGGTGATTTTTCATCTGTACCAAAGTGATTATTCCAGTTATCAATAATACAAGAATCTGTAAAAGAAAATCTCATTTATTTTAAACAGAACAAAAAACGCAAAACAAATATAAAATAAAATATTTGTTGAATTATCAGACACATTAGAAAAAAGACAGATTATAATCTAAGATTTTCAACGAAAGTCCCAAGGCATATTAATGAACAATACAGATATTGTTATCGGAAATATGCCGTGAAACGTGAAAGTAAAACGATTAAATGCAAAGGGGATTAGATACATAAAAATAAGTCAAACGATTTATAACTAAGTAAAAAATTTACAGTAAAATGTATAGGTGAAAAACGAGGACTTACTGATGTAACAAGATTTAAATTAACATCAAAAAATCCGAATGCTGAAATTTGGTCTGAATCGCAAGCTGATATTTGATTCATAAACATTTTAATCTGAAAAATAAAACAATAAAAATTTAAACTTATGTCTAATAATATACATTATAAGTTATATTTATTACTTGTCGTTTAATATCAAAGTGTAAAATTGAAATTCGGTATAATCGTAAATATGATATAATTTTCAATCTCTGTAAAATAAATATGAAAATATTTTTTTGTAATACAATTGACATTATTGTTTAGTTTTTAAAATGAGATTTATTAAGATTAGTTTAAAATTAAAAACCGAAGTATGATTAAAAAATTAAAAATTAACGAGGATATGATGATGAACAGGCTGAATAAGTTACCTCATCGTTGATGAATGAAACGAAAACAATAATAAACATCAAAAATGTGATGCTCTGTGCGTGAAAAAACATCAATAGTATTCGTTTCCCGGTAAATTGTAAATTGAAGATTACATCATAATTGATCATAAAATAAAAACCGAGTAGCATATTGATAAAGTTGGATATAAAGAAACACAAAAGCAATGGACCGTAACCAAGAGTAAACATTTTTAACAATTCGCAGAGTTCGGAATGTAACAGTCGCGTGTTTTCCATGACATCTATTATTTCGTTGTGTGTCCATTTGTCAAAATCGACAACTAAGTCAGCAGGAAGACATTTCCAAATATCGTTTAACGTTTGGAATCTGGCATATATGTTATGAAGAAAGAAACAAGAAGAGATCGTCAGTACATAATCCATAACATGAGGAGGATTGAATAATGGATGGACAAACATATATGTTGCAATATTTTGCATCTTTTTGGGAGTAAAATAGATATTCATGAATCTAAATCCGACAAAAAATGTAAATAACATAATAAAAATCCAATTCCATTTATTTTTTCTCCATAAACGTTGTGTAATCGATAAACTTGTTGAAAGTGGTGTAATTTTCTGATCAAACTCAGTAACGCCATTAATAAATCTGGAAAAAAAAATAATGAAAACTATATATAGATTTTATGGTTTAATCTTAATAAATAATTTTAAACAACGATTACACAAATATATATTTTCAACATATTATGGTCAGTCTGGTGTAATTTGTTTACATTTTTTTTTTTTAATTTTAACTAAGAAATAATTCAATATTATCAATTATATACAATTACGCGTCCGAGAACTTGCCGAATTCATTATGAACATTTTAGTTGAAATCAAGACATTAAATAATCACATTTACGTTATTTTATCGATAAGAAAAAAAAACTTAAATATTGTAGGCGGTGTAAAGATTTATTGACAATATTCTTGGTATATGGTTAGAAATTTAAATGCTGAGTTAACGTTATGACTAGGTAGGTACTTTAATGGATGATATTAAACTAAAAATATTGTTGTTTATAGTTTATATAATAGGTACCTACGTAATATCAACTATAAGTAAACGCACGTTATCCGTACAAAAACACTTTGTCATTTATTACTACATAGATTAGTTTCTCAAATATGACTTTTTGTAAACGAGTTATGGTTAATTCCGTTAGATCCAGGATGTATATTATTTATCAATTAATTGATATGGTAATTAATATTTATTTAATCTGTTGGGACGATTTAAAAGTTTTGTTTAAATTATTTTCATTATTTGATATTAAATTTACTAAATTACATTTTTATTTACATTTCATGTTTGTTTAGCTTTTACCCCATTATTAAAATATATACTATTTACCAACTACAGTACCTACATATCAATGTAAAAATGGGTCCAACCTATAATACAAACAAATATATTAGTGAATAAATATTAAATAGATACTTGATTATCCATATCGTTGATAGTCTGGATGCAATAATGATTATCCAAATTTTTATAATCTCTATAACTAAAATAATATGAACTTCTCGATTGAACTGATTCCAGTATGAATAAGTTAATAACAACAACACAATCATCCGTAATATTTCTAGATATGCAAGAAACGTTGAGTTCATATCCCGAATTATTAATCCAGTCGGTTCCACAGTATATGCAATATTAATTAAACCTATACTTTTACATAAAAATAAAATAGGTCTTAAAGTTTTATGAAAATCAGTGGTCATTTTGATGAAGGTTGTTTCCAGTAGGGGAACGTGGGGCAGAACGGGGCCATGGGGCAAAACGGGGACATTCCAATATCTATGTCTTATAATGGTCATACTGATTTAAAAACTTAATATATAGAATCCTTGGGCTAACAATATCATGTGACAAAAATTTCAAGTTCACATATCAATTATCTTATCAGTAATAAATTAAAATCATCACAAATGCCTCTTATCATCTGATTGATATAATAAACTGATATTTTTTTCCGAAATGTTTTTATGGTTTACTTATTGTTACATAAATTTGTTTTCACTGTTTTTATAGCAAATGTTCTTAAGATTATTTTAATAATATTAATTATTAAAAAAATTAATTGTTGTGTTTACGAACAACGGCTGCAGGTAAGTGTACTCATTGGGGCATAATGGGATAGACCTGTTCGGGGCAAAATGGGGACGTCCCCGTTTTGCCCCAATGTTTTAATTTCATAATTTTGAAACGATATATTACCATATTTATAGAATGGTTAGAAACTATGTTAGAAAAACTAAACGCCAATCGTGGACAGAAGAGTCTATGAAAAAATGCCATTATGGTTTGTGTAAACAAAGAGATGGGGTATAGAAAAGCAGCATCAGCATTTGATGTTCCACAGTCAACTCTTGAAAGAAGAGTGAAAGTCTACTTAGAATCTGGAAATAAAACAAATGCTTTTAGTAAAGGTAATCTTATTTAAGTATTTACATTTACAATATAATATATATATATATATATATATATATATATATATAATATTTATTATTTTATAAGGACTTGGGAAGTATAAAACAGTTTTCAACAGCGAACAAGAGATTGAATTAGTTGAATACATTAAATCTATGGAGGCCCGTTTATTTGGACTAACATCTTTAGAATTAAGAGGATTAGCTTTCCAACTTGCAGAAAAGAATAATTTAATGCATCCTTTTGAAAAAGACAACTTAAAGGCTCTTATATGCCTCCTATGCTTATATTTCCTCGCGTTAGGGCTAAACCAGAGCTTATTGATGGTGGACCACCTGGGTCGTGGGCAGAAGTGCACCCAAGTGGGTGGATCCAAACCGATTTGTTTTTGAAATGGTTTGACAAATTTATATTATTTTCAAGAGCATCTCAAACAAATAAAGTTTTGCTTCTACTTGATGGTCATTCTACTCACACCAAATCTATACAATTAATTGATAGAGCTAGGGATGCTGGTGTAATTCTGCTTTGTTTTCCGCCTCACTGTACTCATAAGCTTCAGCCTTTAGACGTAGGATTTATGAAACCGCTTAGTGTCTATTATTGTGATGAAGTAAAAAAATGGCTGAGGGAACATGCTAATGAGCACAGGGTAGTTACACAATTTCAAATTGCTTCACTGTTTGGAAAAGCTTATATAAAGGCATCAACTATGTCAACAGCAATTAACGCATTCAGGGCAACTGGCATTTGGCCAGTTGATTCAAACATATTCAATGAGCATGATTTTCTAGCCAGTGCAGCTACAGACATTGATTTGGGAGATACAATTTCTGTTAATAATCAACTCAATATTACAGATATGAATACAATTCAAGTAGAAGTTTCAGATCCAAGCCAAAAAGAGAATGTTGCAACAGATATAACAACAAAACAAAACTCACCAGGATGTTCCTATTGGCAAAACAATGCTGAGAAAGTATTCCCTGTGTCTTCTCCTGAGGAAATACAGCCAATACCTAAAAGTTCAAAAACCACTGCACGTTGTTCTAAGAGAAGAGGTAAAACAGCAATCCTTACTGATTCCCCTTATAAAAATGAACTTTTAGCAGCAAATGCAAACTCAAAGCCACAGACTGCAAAGCGTTCATTGTTTAAGAATAAAAATAAAACAAAAAAAATAAGGAGAGTAAAAACTAAGGAACCAGTGTCCAGTGATGTAGATGAGAACTGTCTATACTGTGGTGAGTCATATTCAATATCAGTCGATGGGTGGATTCAATGTTCCAAATGCAATTTATGGGCCCACTGCCTTTGTGCGGGCATTGATGAAAAAGATAAGGATGCCTTATTAACCTGTGAACTTTGCTCTTAATTATTTTAAATGTGTTAATTTTTTAATTAAATTTTTAAGTTTGACTACTTGTGTAGGTACTACATCTATAATTAGTATTTAAATAAAATGTACCTATTTAATAAATGTAAAAGTTTATGTGTTTTAAATTTACAAGCACTTATTATTATTTGTTATTGATTTGTACAATATTATTATATTAAAATATATTCCTATGTATGTATGTACAAGTTATTTATATAAAAAAAAGTTCAAGTAGTTAAACTTATTTGCATATATGTAAAATGAAATAATATTTATGTTAAATAAATAATATTTGAGAGGCGTCCCCATTTTGCCCCATGTATGGGGCAAAACGGGAAAATTATACTTAAACCTATTTTGACCTTTAACACTATGAGACTTAACTGAATGTTTAAAAAATGCTCACATATTAATAACCATATCCTAAAGATTACACAGTTCAAGTTTCAAATCAAAATCACAATTTTTGAGTGAGTTATAGCTTCTGATACATTAACGTCCCCATTCTGCCCCACGTTCCCCTACTGGAATTTAAAATACAAATAATTGTTCTTCTATGTTAAACATTATTAGTGATGCATTTATGATGTCACTCGAATTAATCGACTGTTAAATTAATAACAAACATCATTGAATTGATGGTTATTGCATACATTTTAAAAATAAACATTATCAAGTTCGAAGTGATTGCATTAAAACAATATAATGTGCACATTCCATACCAACAAAGTAGGTAAATATCATATTATTATGTACTATTGTAGACATTCATAACATATTATGAGTGAGATTATAGGGTTTTGAGTTTATACATTATGAAAATATTATTACATATCTAAATATTGCAATTTATAAAGGTTGTGTACAATGAATTTGTGTTTGCGTATAGTATTATGTACATATGAAATTATAACTTATAACTATTGTTTGTAAGTCGCAACTACACAAATAAGTTGATGTACCATGTCTTAAACATTTTGCATAAGACTGAAATTTGATAAATAAGTATAAAAATGAGTTAGTTGGTGTATACATTTTATTATCTCTAATAGTTCTAGGAAACATTGAATAATTAGTCATATTTGTTTTTTCCGAAATCAAGCCAGTTCCGCGATAATACATGAAATATTAAAATATTTATATACATGCACATTTTATGTCAACATAGTAGGAAGATATTTTTCAGTATTATAAACTTTTTTATATTATAAAATATTTGTTTAAATGAAAATCCGTTCCTTAGAGATCATAACAATTTCAAGGCAATACCATGAGTATTAGTTATATTTTCGGGGATAACTTTCCTACATTTTTTGTCACATACATTATTCATGCCGAACGTTAAAAATTAAAATAATCACGTGGAACACTATAACAGGAATCACTGATATATTTTTGACTTAACAATTATGATGTATTCGTAGTTAAAATTTTCCACTATACTTTATATATTATTATTTACTATGTAGGTATACCTATAAGTTATTGTTTTTGTATTTTTGATTATATTATTTATTATAACCATCAAGGTTTATTTAGATAATTTATTATTATAAAAAAATGTGAGCAAGTTGGTTCTATTATACAGTAGATATCTGGATAGGTCACTTAAATGGACGTGTTAAATTTGAATTCAGTTATATTGAATCACTGCTTACAAAATAATTCTAAGCGAAAACGGTTTGTCGACTGTCACTAGTGTAACTTGCATATTATATTACTCAATGTATTCTATGATATTATTTCTGTTTAAGTAATTTATTTTAATATTATAGACATTAATACATAAATAATAAAGCAGGTTGAATTAATTTTGGCCAAACTATTGCACTTGAAAACGTCATTGTTTATATAAAAATAGAATAATATACTATAAAATCTCGTTAACTTACAATAAAAAAGCTAAAATTTCATTATTCCGTTATCAATTATTATTTTGTTATTCTTTGTTCAAAAATCGAATTTTGTCTAAATTTCAACTTAAAATATAAAATATATATAAAAAAAAAAAACTTATGATATATTTTTTTTTAGATTTTTTGATTACAACATGAACTACTTAGGGGAAGCGATTTTTTTATTTTTAAATCCTTAGCTATAAAAATTGAATTAAAAAAAAAAATTTTAAATACAAAATAGTTTAGTACCTACAAATTTTCGAGAAATTAATACATTTTGTTAAAATTTGAACTTAAAATACTTGTAATACTCTGCTATAGAGGAACCGGTCTCAAATATATGCAGGATTGTCATGTTCACTCACCGGACAAAGAATAATAATTGTAACAGGGATACATAGAAAACAAAAACAATCGAAAGAGGGATAAGATATTTAAACCTACGAGTATATCACTATCAATAAATTTATCACACAAATAAATAAATAATATTTAATGAGAAAATTTTAAGAATTATTTCATTATTTTTATAGCAATATGATTATAGATTAGGTTATTCTTTAAAACTTTATGTGGTTTCAATTTTGCAGGTTTGACCTCTTATATTAAATTTCAACTCATACCTCTAACACTAATTATTTGGTATTCTGATCAAAAAAAGTTTAAAATAAAAAAATATAAGTTTTTAATGGAACCATTAATGGTCTATTAAAATCTAAAAACTTACTGACAATAAATAAAAATTATAGTCTAAAATCACTATATTACATATTTTTTTCAAAACAAATTTAATTTACAATTGGTAAAAAATCAAATCATTTAAAATACAAATGAATGATATAAATCACACAAATAAAATTAAACATAATGTTAATGGTAGTGCTGATAAGCAAAAAAAAATATAAAGAAATCAATATCAAATTTCAAACGTGCACATATAACTAGATATATACAAAAAAAAATTTACAATGAAATCAAATACTAGTTGAATAATTTGTAAAATAAAATTTTTAAATAATTTACATTCATATAAAATAACATAAAACACAAAATTGAAAAGTTACTAATAAATTGCATTTGGTCACTATGTAAATATTAAATTATAAAATGGAAAACTAAAATAAAAAAAAAAGAATCAATAAAATAATAACAATATGAAAAACCAACAGAAATGAGACAACACAAAATAATTATAAAAAAACTCACTCAAATAATTTAAAATTATCAATTTAAAATGTTGCAATTATAATAACGCTGGTTTACAAACTTGCTGTATGTTATAAAATACAATAGGGAGAAAAAAATATTAAGTATCTAAAATGATAATTGCCGTGGTTTAAATCCAGGCGTTTTAGTGCTAAGGTTTTTATGTGGTGTTTTCATTTGCAAACACTGATAAGCTAAGGCTGTCATTTCTTGTTGGTCAACAGTTTTTCCACATGTAATCTTCCACATCACATCATTCTTCATGTAATACATTATTTTCAATAAAAAATTGATTAGTATATTATTAATAATTTTATAAAATAAATTGTCACATACCTTGGATACGAAGCCGGACCATTTTTGTCTGAGTGGACTTCCAATGTGTAGACGCTTGAGGACACTGCTGCCATCGGACGACTGTGGTAACTGTCTGCGGATAACTGTTGTCTCCGAAACGTCTGGTGAGGCAGTAGAGCCATTCTGGTCATCACAAAACAATACATACAGCCACCATTTACTACACCATCACCGTAATAATAACGAATAGCTACTACTACTTATTATTATTACTTTTTTATATTAAATAATACAAATAAAGAAATGTTTAACAAATTTAAAGCATTTTCAAAGAATAATTAAATTCTACATTAATTGTTTGTTTAAATATGATTTAAAAATATACTTAAAAGTCGGGTGATAATAGATTTTTATATTTAAATAGACTTGAAATTTAATTACTTTAATAATTTTTAAATAATCCAAAATAATTAAATTTTACCTAATTTATCATATAATCATTAATTTCTAAGTTAAAATAATATCAGAAAACCATTGATATATATTCTATAAACGCTTGGCATAAAATTGAATGTTTTTAGTTGATACAAGTTATACATAAACAAAATTTAATATTTGGATGTATTTAAAAATATTAAGTTAGAAAATATTGTATTAATGTCTATTTTTCATGTAAAAATACTATATGTAATAACACTATTAGCAATTTTTAGAGCGAAATCTTCTATTTTTATGTATATTAATATAACAACAATAAATTTCTTTGAAAATGCAATAGGTTGAAATAAGACTTAGAAGATATTTATATTAGTGATGGCCAGAGATTATTACAACAATAGGTATTTTAAGAACTATTAGATTCTACATTACCTATTTTAAATTAAAATTTGGTATATATAAACTAAATAAGTTAAAAATTATAAGTATTAATTAAATATTTGTGTATTTGTAGTTTTTTTCTTTTAATAAATATTAATTTACATGTTTAAGTTCATTTTTTTGTTTGACTCATCACTACTCATTTAATATTTATTATAAGTTAAGTATTTCTCAAATGTAAAATGTTTGTTGTATTTGATCTATTTCAAATAAACAAATACATTTTTATTTAAAATATAACAATACTTTAAAAAGATAATTTTAATATTGTAGGAATAAAGCAAAAGCTTATCTTTAGAATCAAGTTTTAACCATATTTGTAAAACGGCTCAAAACATTATATATATATTTGATATTTAGATTATATTGAAAATCATTATCTTGTTTAAATAGGAAATAAATTTTGAAAAATGCTTAATTAAATCATGCATAATACGTAATGGGAAATATAAAGGTAAATAACATTTTGAATAATTTTTATATAATGTATTTTGAAACATAAATACAAATCAATTAATTTCTCAGTCATTGAAGTTATTCAATTTTCTTTAAATTAATATAAAATATTGCTAATATTTACCTTTATAACTTAGGAAAATGCCACACAACCACTATTTAAATGATTTAATACAGACAATTTTAATAACATTTTGATAACAATTTTAAATTTTAAATCTCCATTATAACTATGGTACAAAGTATTTAAAGAGTGGTTCCATGTCAAAATCAACAACAATTATTGAGTAACTACAAGATTATATAGACCAGATGATTTCATGCAGGACAGACTTACAAGTAAAGTAGTATTTATTGCTGATTTACGAAATTTTCACACTATATAAAAGATAACTATCAGTCTCAATTTTATTTTTATTTCTTAATACTCGCTAATTTATAATAAATAAATATAAAAAGAAACAAATGAATGATTTGGGTTGTGTTAAAAATTTTAAGTTAGATAAAAAAAAACATCATGACATAAATTAAGTTCTTTTCTAATCATTGTGAAAAGTTAGTAAGGATTTTGAAAATACAGTCTTATAAAGTTTGTCCTGCACAATACCATAATCGTGAAAAAATTACAGGTTGTGCAACGATCTATTTAATCCCAATTTAAAATAATACAATAATAACAATGTACTTAACAATTAAACAAAATTGCTTCAAGTGCACTACTGTGCTCTACAAATACTATGTGTAATATAATAATATAACAAAGTGAACAAATTATACTTAGTAGATCACTTCTCATTCTCACAAAAACATGTATGACAATATAGAAGACACAAATATCTATATTAGCCTTTTATAAAAGCAATAAAATCATTCACCCATTGGAAGTTCTAACAAAATTTGAGAGCCAATGAATTTTACTCATTAAAATTATTCCAATTTTTTTATTGGACACAGGCTATACATACTTATTTATCCACTTTGTACAATGTAATAATAACATAATTAGAAGTTAGAATAATTTTAATGTTTTAATATTGATAGCAAATAATGATAAATTCTTTTAATATGTTCTTAAAATTTTTAAGAAATAAGACATGTCTGTTTTTTAATTACATTTTCCTAGGTACTTGTTGATATTTTTGAAAACTTGGCGATTTTAAAATTTTGTAAATTATAATGATTATAATAGTCAAGTGCTTTTGCAGTAATTACTAATACACCGCTTAAAAATTTAAAAATATCTTAATCCCATTCACTTGCATTCATGTATGGCCATAAAAGTTAGAACTCTAAACATAACTTTACTCATCTCTATACATACATTAAAAATACTTTCAATATAATAATCGAGTGATTGAAACTAAGTATTCAAAAGTGAGGTGCAGAACTATTACTTTAAATTATTTATCCTAATTGATCTAAGGGTGCAATAATTTTAAAGAGTAAAAAGAACTAGGTTTTTTCATGACCTACTCACCCAAATACCTGAAAAATATTAACAAAACAAAACAAAAAATCTAAATTACGAGAAATAAAAAATCAATAAAAAATAATGTCAAATCTAAACACTGGCACACTCAATAAAAAGTGGCAGGTTTGGTGTATGATATAATATTCACTCTTCAAACCAAATTAGTGTGGATGGTAAAAAAAAACTTTATTTTTACCTTTGAAGCTGAATATTCTTCAGATGTAAAGATGTTTCTAGTATCATCAACTAAATTTGTTGAATAAACATCTTCAGCATTTGTTTCTCTAATTGTTTTTGACTAAAAAAACAACAGATTTTGCATTTCAAGTTTATTTTTCTCAAAAATAAAAATTATATATATTACAGACAATTTGAAATACTGATCAATGTTGTGATTCAGGAATACAAACAAATAATTTATAATATTGATTATAAATTGTAATATATCATGCATACTTTAAAACAATTATAATAATAATTATATTTATATAATATTTACGGAATAATGAAAAAAATTAACTAATATTATTTCTTTTATTTATAATTTTATTTTTTTATTAAAATTGAACTCCATAGACTTTTTATTATTATTACTTAAAAATTATAGTTTTCCCATATGGTCAAATCAATATCATAAAATAGCTATAATGATAAAATCAGTCAATAATATATATGAAAAATAATTAATATTTTCAACAACTAGTCAAGTTTTTGTACTTTATAAGGCACTGCTTCATACATGTAAAGTATTAATTAAATAGAGTTTGCATAAATCTCCTCCAATTCTTTTTAAAAATGGAATCTAAATGTTATGAACATTTAAATAATGTTATTGAACTGAATAAAACTAACAATAAATTTTTTTGTAAATAAAAATGTGGTTACTATAATTGTTTTTCATATAGATAATATGTAAAAATTTAATAAAATGAATGATCAGTATTACAAATTATTTGTTTGTATTCACAGTTCATGTTGCTCTGGCAATACCACATTAGTTGTAACATATATACATTATTTTTTTTAAGTAGAAAACATACAATCAATCAAAAATTAATTATATCAATGGTGTAACTTATAAGAGAAGTATTACTACAATTAAGTAATACTGTAATACTCAAAGAAGACCACCCAATATTACACATTATTAATACCATAAATCGAGTATACTTTACATAGGCATCAACAATGCTATCGTTTATTACTCGTAAATTTAATTTAAATTCGGCTCAATAGTGGCATATATGGCAAGAAGTAGAAAAAAAATATCAATTCATCTCCTGTCACTATACTTCACTAATGAGCCAAATTTAAATTAAATCAATGAGTAATAAATAATTGCATGAGTTAACATATTTATAGTATTATTTAATTGATGCCAATATTTAATTTTAACTATTATAATATTTATACTTTAATATTAAAAAATATTTTAACACATTTTATTTTTAAGAATTGTGTTTCATACTAAATTGTAACTTTTTGTCTATATTAGTTAAAGTGTTCTTATTTTTTCTGAATTAATTTTAATAGTCAAAATGCTTAAGATATTTAACTTTTACTTAAGTTAGTATAACACTAATGTAGGATCCATGTTGTTTCTTAGCCATTTTTAAATCTTTGTACTGAGGAAATACTAAGTATATAAGTTGCTAAGCTCGTGTAGATAATTGCAACCAATACATTAATATAATACAGGAGATAATAAAATATGGGCTAATAATAAATTTTTAAAAATAAAATTACATTTGTTTAATCTAAGTATATGAAATTATAGAGACAATAAACTGGGGTGTTTTTGGCACTCCTTAGCACCCATAGTTATACTAATGATTTATATAAAGTATAAATAATTATAAAAATAATAAACTTACAGATGAGTCAATAGGTTGATTCCAAGAAGCTGTTGGAGAAGCCCACACAGGTGCAAGAGATTTTCTTGCTTTTTTTTGAGGTGTAGGTGAAAGAGGTTCTGCATTTTCTTTTCCACATGCAGCTATGTCATTAGTATCCTATAAAATTTTAAAAAGTTTTTAAAATAAATTATATATAGTTAAATGTAGAAAATATTTCAAATTATTACACAAAACATATTAGAGCTATCGGTTTCGTACTGTGAATCAGAAAATTCTGATTCTTTTTTAACTCGATCTTCTTGCTTTATGTAATCAGTTATATCCTCAATTAAAGCTGATGGGGATTGAACCTAATAATATATCGTTTATGAGTATATTAAAAATAAATGGATTATATTAAATTTTAACTTACTAGATGTTTTACACCCATTTTACGGCCAGCCTCGGCAAGGGCAATTTTAAATGGTGTAGGTGTGTGAGGAGTATTTATTCTATGAGTTGTTTCTGGAGTCTTAACATCATCACGGCTTCTTCCAGCAAATTTATAAATTAAATTTGGTGTAACTAAGGTTTCAGATTTTACAGTTTGATCACTAATATCTTCATTAGGTTTACTACTACAACTAGGTAATAGACGCCTGACAGGTGTTGAAGATGAATTAACATCAAATGATAATGATGGACTATTTAAAAACTAAAAAGTAAAATAGAAAAAATTAACTGGTGTTTAAAATTGCAATTAAGATTAATAAAACAAATTAAAGGCATTAGACATACAACATATTGGCAAAAAAAGATAGCAATCATATAATAATTATACTTTTTATGAAGGTGGAAACACTATAGTAACATTAATTATAACTATCAAGTGACAAAAAATAAATATCTTAACAGTACTGCCATGTGAAAAACAATAAAATTATATGAATTTAATTTATATTATATAATTTTTGTTACTATAATGTTAAAATAAATTATTTACAAAAATAAAACAAGTAGAAATGCAAAACCACCAAAAACTATGTGCAAAATAAAAATAAAACAAAAAAAAAATAAACCTTTTAACCTTATACATACAATATTATTATTATTTAGAAAATATTAAATAATTATTTAATTAAAAGCAAAGCTAAATAACAACAACCCTTTGATTTTTAATCGGTAATTTATAAACCAATACAAATATTATTATTATAAATCTTTAGATAAATAAATGAATTTCTAACTATTCAAAATCATAAATACTTCATAACACCATGAAATGACTTCAATAATTGAAATTCACCAATATTAAATTATATATATATATATATAAGAAAAAAATGATTACCATTATAACCATGTATAGTCAAACTACAAAAACTGTTACTGTAAATGCAAAATTACTAATTGCTTACAAATGGATCAATTACATGCATATTACATATACATTAACAGTAGTATTTAATGAAGTATAAAACTATATACATTGGAGATTAAATCATAACATATTTACATACTTGTGAGGGACTGAACGGTAGTTGTTTTATTGGTGTTCGTTTTTCAGGCGTTCCAGGTATGCTCAAGCCTGACAAAATAGTCTAGACCACAAAGACACACACATCTCAATCTTTTTTTAAGCAAACAATCAAACCCAATTTAAAAAAGTACCAATTTTGTCTACTTAATGTTTACTCTTAGATAAAACCATATTAAAAAAAATAGAATTTTATTCATTATTACTTATACAAATTTATGTAATTTCAAAACATTTTAGCAGCCAAACATGGCTAACTTATAAATTACTATTTAATTACTGAGCTTAAGCAAATTGCAAGTTTGACCAACTTTAACAAAATATGTATTTGGTTAAATGTAAAATTTTAAAACAAATTAAATGTACAAAGAGCATTTTCTATTGTAATTTAATGAACTGTTATGCAAATGTAGAATACTTTTAATATGTATGGTAAATTTAATTTTAAACCATGTTAACTATACAAAAATATTAAAATTCATAACTGGCATTGATAATAACTATGGTTATCTACTTGAGTCTAATCATAGGCATGTTGCCAAAATTAAATATGTACAAATAATGCTAGTAATAATTAGCTAAAATGTAATACATTTAATATGTTGAAAACCATAAAATAATCATACAAAAGTAATCACTTAAAAATCTTTAAATGCTCTGATTGTTAATAAAAATTAAAAAATTTTGTTTTACTGTGATTACTTTTAATTTGAATATTTACCAGGATTAAAGTGAAAAGTGTCCCATAACCTTTAAATTAAATAATGCATCTTTTACACGATTTGCTGAGATATTGGTACACAGTATTTGACATAATTGGTAGATACATATAAATGTAGAATTTAATAAAAAATATTAAGTATTTAATTAAAATAGAAATATAGTAAGTAATGATAAAATATAATTAGATAGTAATTTTAAAAAAAAATAGTCGTGTCTATTATGATATATTTATAAAATAGATGTCATTCTATTAAAAATACTGTAAGATGATGTCATAACAATGTTACACATGACACTTTATTTTAATAAGCTATTTAAAATAGATGTTGTGCAGTCTTTGAAAAATGTAAAATAAATAAAAAATTGAGTTATGAAATAAAAACAGAATAAAAAATATCATATCAATATCATGCACTGTTAAATATGTTTAGAAAACAATTTAAATACATATTTTATGTAGTACCTGTGTCAAATACAGTATATTAATGAAAAACCATACATAAGCACCCATATATTAAAAAATCAAACCAATTATTATCTTACCTTTGAATAAAATAACACATTATGTGCTAATATTAATTCTCAAACTTATAAAAGCTTTTCAAAAATGTAAAACAAAACTAAGTGAAATACCTACACTGATTTTATACTCTAACCATACGTAATGTAAACAAAATTAGCTTTTTTACATTTTTTACTTACACTGCCAATTTCAGGATATTCCGAAAAACTCCTACGTCGTCGAGTAACTTTATTACTAGGTGAAAATAGATTTGATTTATTTGGTGTAACAGCATCATACTGATAATCTGCAACTCATTATTTTAAAAATTTATAATATTGATTTATAATTTACATTATATTACTTACAAAGTTCTGGGCAAATTTCTTTTTTTGGCGTCTTTGAAGGGGTAACAAGATGAAGTTCGGCATATCCTTCATCAGGAGAACTACCTACAATATTATTACTAGTTTGTTGAGTTTCAATAAAACCTCCAGTCTCAAATAATCTAAAAACATAGTACATTATTCAAATCATTCAATTAATGTTCATTTATATTTGTTTTTATACCTGTATGGTGAATAACATGATGGTGAATTAGTTTGCAAGGGTACTGAAGCCGGTCTAGGCGGAGACTCTAATTTATAATTAATTTTGAACACATCTTTTACTTTCATTTCATTTTTCTTTTGAGGTGTTGACATTAAAGAATTCAAAACTTCTGCAGCTGCAACAACTTCAGCTTTATCCCGGACATCTTGTTCAGGATCTAATTTAGACTGAGTATCATCTGGAATATATTTTGGAGGCATCCAACTATAATACTAAAAAAGATATATATATAAATATATATTTAAGGGAAATAAATATATCAATATTAATAAATGTATAGACTTCAAATTACTTGTGATGGAACATCAATAGTTATGTATTCTGATTGATTAACTTGTGATGTATTGGGTTGACTTTTACTAGATTCTTCTCTGATTTCTATTGGAGCTCTGATACTTTTTGTTTTAGGCTTCAACATATTCCTACCATATACTTCTCCTTTATCATCTATTTCATATTTCCTCCGCATAGTTGAATTCCAATGATTCTTTATGGCATTATCAGTCCTAAATATTTTCAAAATAAAACAATTAGTACCTAATTATTTTAATTGTATAACATTTTATTATATGTATTTTAAAAATATAACTCTACAACCAGGGATAAACAAGATACTCAAAAATCAGTATCGTGATACTAGATACTTGATACAATTGTATCCAAGATCTTAGATATTTACATCAAAGATCATGCCCAATCCTGATTATTGCTGTATTTTCTCAATTTTTGATCCAACATAATCAAAAATAATTAAATAATTTTCATAAAATTAACCAATTTGTTTTTTTTTTTTAGTAATTGATTAAATAATTACTAAATGTATTTATGAACAGTAAATTTCTGTAACATAACAATGAAGTAAGGCTGCATCTAGTACCCGTAGGATATGGATATCTAATATAGGTACAGACGTATGGTAAAGACGTAAAGTCCTGTTCAATGTCTGTGTGGTGTGTCATAGTTCACAGATATAACTAAACATGGCTAATGGGTTGAAAAACAATTTTGTTTAAGTTGTAGGTTCAGCTTACAGGAAATCATCTATAACTACTCAATTGTATATGTATTTGCAATATAAATATTAATTATGATAGTAAAAATAAGAATTGTCAATAATTTGAAATTAATTAATATTGCAATTAAATTATGGTATTCATGAATTTTAATTTGTTGTGCCTTTTACACATGTTATACTACTAAATTAAAACATAGTCAAACAGTCAGGGGAAAAACAGATAGGGAAAGAAAATAATCGTAAAAAATTAATTTTTCAAAGTACCGCATTAATGTATTGAGTATTTTTTGATAACATTATTTTATATGCCTATACTAGATATCCATATCCTACAGGGACTAGATGCAGACTTACTTCATTGTTATACTACAAAAATTTACTGCTTATAAATACATTAAGTAAATATTTAATCAATCACTTTTTTAAAAACGACAAAACTAAAGCATTATTTAATTACTTTTGATAATATTGGATCAACAATAATGGAGAGAATACAGCAATAATCAAGGTTAAGTATCTAAGATACATATCTTAAACAATTGTATCGAGTAACTAGTATCTCGATACTCCAAATCTAGTATTATTGAGATACTTATTTTTGAGTATCTTACCCATCCTTGATAATTATGTCAATTATATCTATGTGATTATATAATGTACATGTATATTATATGGATGTCTTAATTATAACCTTAAGCAAAATCAATAATTAATTCACCACCTACCTTCCTGGTAACAACTTTGCAATTTTAGCCCATTGATTCCCCCATTGACTATGTGCCCTAAATATTATTCTGTCTTCTTCGTCTGTCCATGCACTTTTTTTTATATTTGGATTCAAATGATTATGCCATCGTTCACGACACTGTTTACCTATTCGGCCTTTTAAATGTCGCGCTATTAGAGTCCATTTTTTGGGTCCATATTTGTCCACAAGTTCCAATACAGTTTCGTCTTCCTATAATACAAAATAATGAAAACATTAATTAGTTTATTTTGTTTTATTATATTTTATACAAAATGAACATACTTCTTTCGTCCAAGGCCCTTTTACTAAATCGGGATTCACAACTTTGTGCCATCGTTGTTGGCATTGAATATCTGAGCGATCGTTGAAATGTTGGGCTATAAGATCCCATCGTTCTTGATATTCATCTACAAGTTGTTTTAGCCTCATATCCTGTAAAGGAACCAAATATTAACATAAAATATCAATAAATATATAGCAAAATACATGTATATTATATAAAAAAAGATTTTATTTTTATTAATATGTTAATCACATATCACATTTGAGTATATTTATTGTGACAATAAAATCTTAAAAATTAAAATATTAATGCACCTACAACTTGCTTATGAATATAAAATAATACTTGTAAGAAACACTAACAATAAACTAATAATTTAATTGTAACATTGATTAAATTGTAATACATTTAATAACTAAGTAGATGATGCCAACTAGTGTCATTTAGCACATGTTAATGAATGCCATTTCGCGTTATCAACAGTAAACTTGTTAATAAAGTACTAACCTCTTCTTTGGTCCAGCGACCCTTATTGATAGAGTGGTTTGATGGTTTATATTCAACCAACCGTCGACCATCTTCAGTAGATACGATTGGGATGCCAAGTGGCATCGCATAATCATCTGAATCTTCCCCATCATCCGTTTCACTATCATAACCTGATCTGGACCTACAAAATTAAAATAAATAATAAAAATATTCAGTTACTAAATTAATATATGCAACATTTAAATTTTAACTATAACCATTAATAACTTTTATCATATAATTTAGAAGCATTTTTTATGTGTATTCACTTTCAGTTTGAAATGGTTGTATCAAAAAAATTTTAATTTAAAAAAACAAAACTGACAGGATACAGAAATACCATGTCATTTATCAATACTCAACTAGCAGAATAATAGTATACTACACAGTTAAATTATAAAACAATAATAAATAATAATTGCTTTCAAAAAATGATTTAAATTGGTACCAAGTACAACTATATTGTAAATTCAAGACCTTTCTCGATTTACTAAAATAATAAAAATAATTAAATAAATAATTTTTTGTCAAAAATAAAATCTAAGTTTTATTTAAGAATTATAAATTATGACATATCTAAAATGTAAAGTAACTCTATATTAATATATAAATGAGACCAAATCATTTCTATAAAGTATGAGAGTTACAGACCGTGAATCCTGTTTCCTGGGTCTTTCTTAAAGAGTATACCATTCTAGACTAATTATAGTAGCATTCATATAGAAAAAATAAGCTTTACAAAATAATAAATACAATATACAATATTATAAATGTCAACACATATTCTTACTACAATAAAAAATAAAAACACATTTAAAACACTATGTTGAGTATTTTAATTCAGTTTATTAATTTTGTTAGTTTAGTTTCTAAATGAGCATTAACTTAAATATATAAATAATTAAATAATCAGGTTAAAATTATTTTTTAGTAAAACGTCAATAAATTTAAATGATAAACAACCTATCACATTAATCGAATTGGAATTAAAAAATATGAAAACTGATAATACTAATTCAATTTTATACTGGAGTATTCATAATTAATTATAAAACAAATAATATAAAAACTGATATAATGTATAGTATGATAAAAAGTAATTTTAAATTTTCACAAAAACACATGTTTTATTAAAAATAAATTAGTACAAAAATTGGTAAAAAAAAAATATTTTTAAAATTTTTTAATATTAAATAAAAAAAGTAGGTATTAGTTATTAGGTACTAATAACATTGTTAATTTTATGAAATAATAATTGTCATGTGATAATTGTGTTTTAATTTCAGTATGTATATTTCTTAATCAGTAAATAACTAAAACGTATTTAAGTATGATTAACCATTAATAAAGACAAAAGTGCTTACAAATCAGACCCTAAAACTTCAACATAATGTATATGTTTTATATCTATAAGCCAATTAAGGTTAAAATTTCAGCATTTTGGTATATTATTTTTAATTGTTATATATGTTGTAATACGAAGAAAACAATAGAAGTTTTTATAAAAAATAAAAACAAACGTCCAATATTATTATAGAATTTATTTGTTGGTGTTAAAGTTATTTATTCTAACTAAATATCATTAAAAACAGTTTTCACAAAAATTTTTAATACTATGTACTTAAAGACTTACTCATCGTTTTGAGGTACTAAATGCATTCGTTTATTATAAACATTTTGATATTCTTGATAACCACTCACGCAGCTATAGGGTCGTTTAGACATGGAGATATTCAACGAAAATATTTACTTTTTAAAATAAACTTAGAAATCAAAAAAGTTCAAAATAATGAACAAAGAAAAATACGTACGTAAAGTACTACGCTATACTATAATACCACACTACTATTGCTGTATGGCGGGAGAACAGAGGCCAGGTGGTACAAGACAGCTGGGGCATTGGTTAGGGGATCAACTAAGCAGCAATACAACCCCTCCCATTCGCATTACGGACATGAATACTTGTTATACATGTAGAAAAAAAGAGGAAGCTGATTTCCTAACAAGAGAAGAAAGGGGCTCAGCCAAAAAAATATATTAAGTGATGCAACATTGAATAATAATTTAAAGAACTAGTCACTAGAAAACACTTGCATTTTAGTCAGGTCTCGAACACCTTTAAAAATGTTGCAATATCATATATTTTTTAATGCAAACATAAGAAAACATATTGCCGCATAAATTTATGTGTAACAAAATATACCCGAATCTACTTATTAAATTATACAAATCGTTTCACCCACAATTTGATCCATCGTAATAAAACAAAAATACAATATTATATTTCGAAAACATTCAAACTTCGATTAGTTGTTTGATATAAACACTATCCATTTTTAAAATTCACGATAAATTTAATGTTCTCTGTAAAATATAATGATCAATTTCAAATAAAATCATACATTTTTTTACCATTTACGTTGATTTTTTAAAAATTATTAAACATTGTGTTCCTATGAAAGTGCAGTACTTCTGTTTTTCTTAGTAATATATTATTAACTTCAAACTTATTGGTACTACATTCCTTATATAAAATTATAAATGTACAATTACATAAAAAATAAATACGGTGGAAAACAAATCCTGTATCTAATTTCTGGTGAAAAATATTGATAAAAGACTTGTAACATTATGCATAACATAAATGTATTAATATATTATTCATAAAAAAAACATTAATTAGAAAGCAAGCGTAATAAAATAACACAATATTCGGCTCCGCGGCAAGAAAAAGAATATTTGCATCCACTAATTATACTTAAAATACTAAGGGAATTTTCCTATTCAAATTTTCACACCTATTTGTGATTAAAGAAAAGTTATAACAATAAATCGCATTCATTTTTTTTCTAATACTAATTCTTATGAACTTTAATTGATAGAGAATATTATTAATAATTAGAGTTAATTTATTATTTTATTATCCGCTAGCACACTGTTTAAAATTATTGAAATACTATAAATATAAATTTAAGAATTTCAAGCCTTTACTTTCTATAAAGCATAAAAATTTCATGAAACCTAATGTATGACTAATAATTAAAACAAGTTTAAAACTACTATGAACAAAAAGCAACATTTGACAAGATTTTTTTCTATATTTTTCACATGTTATCGGATGTTTTAATTTGCATATTATAGTAAAATTACTAATTTAGAAAATCGAAAATTAATTTCAAATTAAATACAAACTAGATACTATTTTCATCAATAGATACAGGAATATACCTATTATAACTAGCAAAAAACTTTTCGCCTCCAATATTATATTATTAATATGAAACATTTTTACATACATTTTCTATCACGGCATTACCTGATTTACAAAATATATTTTAAAACACATAGGTATCTATTCTATCATAAGCAAATTTTTATTAAAATTTTATATTAAAATCGATTCTCAGCGTTTACCAAAACACATTTAAAATATTTAACGTTAGATAAATATTTTTACTATAGGACTATTAATTTATGCATTACAATTTACAATATCTTTGACCCTGAATAAAAAATGTGTTAATCAAGAATTTGCTGTTCTTATTAAATTATTTTTAGGTTTAATTATTATAAGTTAAAAATAAATATAGTAAATTTGTAGTAGAAAATCATAAAAACCATATATAGCTGTATAAAATACTTATGCATTAAGAGAGGATCAGATCTCTTGTAATGTTAATGCGCTATTTATTTTGTTTTTCTAGCTCACGGACAAAACCGTAAATTGGAGTTCAGCAAAATCAACCTTACTAGCTTTAATGGAATTGACTCAAATTTAAAGATAAGAGCATTACATGTATTTATACGATGATTTTTTTTTTTTAAGATAATTTAACTAGTATACAAGTTCTAAGTAGTTATTTAAAAGATGAAATGGAGTCCACTAAGTTAGAAATATACACATAGACAGTTATTACTTATTACGCTTAAAACAACAATACAAAACTAAAAAAAAAAAAAAAATTATTATTTCGATCCATCCCTCTTCATACACACGCCACATAAACTAATAGGTATGCCAAGGCTAGTGGATTTTTTTTTACATTTTGAAACGTGATATCCAATAACTCTCGTAAATGCTACCCCGCATGTGAAGTCTCCGTGTTTCAACATAGCAATATATTCAACAGTTTTAATTTAATGTTAATATCATATGAATTATTCTTAAGTTTAAAGGTAAGACTATTAACTAAGTGCTTTTAAATTGTAATATTTCACAAAATCATGTCTTGCTTTAAAACTAAAATATCAAAAAAAAAACGATGTAAAAATAGGATGATGTTTTTAGTTTCTTACTGTTAGGTGTGAAATAAGCTAATAATAAGTACAATATTAAAAAATATATTAATAATGTAAAACTTTAGATTTAATTACCTACTCATAAATTATTTGAGGGGGATCGTTAAGATTTTGTTAGGGGTTTAGGGGGAGGAGGGAGTGACTACTGGCTACCATACCAAACACCTCACCTCTACTTGTTCCAGTGACTATAAGCATTCAATTCTCTTGATGTCTGGCTTATATTGTAATAAATATTAAGAAAAATCACTTTCTTGCTATTTTATAAATAAAATAGTAATATACTTATTGTACAATATTAAGGCTTTTGATTAACAAATTAGAGGAAAGATAACTTGCACATTACTTTTCCTCAGTAGGTGCCTAAATTAACTAATAAATAGATATAAGTCTGTTGAAATTTATTTTATTAATAAAATTACATTTCTAATATACGTGAAAAATCAAGACTTATCCTAAAGTCTCAAATAACAAATTAAATTTTTTTTTTTTTAATTATTTAAACTTGGTTTTACAAGTAGTTTTGAGAATTTATTCATAGAGTTTAAATTTAAAGCTGTTATGTTATCAAATTGTAGTGACTAAAATCACATTTTTCTTTTTTCATCTATACTCAATGCTGATATCCAACTATCATCACGAATCCACAGCCATAACAATTTTATTTAAATACTTTGTATTCTACCTTAAATAGATTAAAATTATTTATACTTTTTCACTAAAAAAAAAACTAAAATTAACTGCTAGTTAACAACAAAAATGTATTTTTTTTATTAGCTTCTAGTATAAAACTATAACAGCTAAATATTAGATAAATATCTCAAGATATAATTGTATATTTAACAAACAATGATGTTTAAGTAAATAATTACATTAAATAAAGTTATAAATAACAATTATTGTTTTAATTTAAGTATAATAAAATAATTTCAAAAAATCTTGTTTATATTTTTTAAGAACTAAAACACTTAGGCAAAGGTTATGCTTGATACCTAATATGAAATAATTCATCAAAAAGTAAAATATGTTATTCTGGTCATGATATAAAGGATCCATAATAATTGTAATAATCTCATTGGTATCTTATGTGATGTCCCAGAAATATACTTACAAATTGCATACACTAGAGTTCATAAAAATTATAAAAGTAAACCCTCATCAATTTTAATTTATAAAATATTATCATAAAGAAAAGAAAAAATACAAATATATCCATTTAAAAATAAATTCCTTGTATAAAAATATAATTATTGCTACTAGTATATTAAACATAAAAAATTTCTCACACGTCATTAAGAAAACAATTAAAAATTAAATTCTTAGTTTAATGCATAGTTGTATAGAATTTTAATTTTTAAATATACAATTAAAATTCAATGTACTGATTATAGGCTCTTAATTGTATATCTACAAAATTCTCACTGGTTTTTATATTTTTATCCAAGTTTATTCAAATATGAATAAACTTTTCATGTATCACCTTATACTTTGTAGATAGTAGTTCCTTATAGTTTTTAATTCTACTTCTCCCATAATTAAAAGCAAAAGATCTCATATTTACCAATAAAAAATTGTATTTATAAAATCGTATTATTTTCTTAAGCTAATTTTTGTATACATAATTTACATTATTATTTAACAGTATGTGGGACTCATAGTTAATGATTATTATTAGGTTAGTATAAAAAAATCTCAGGCCACAAAATTATGATAGATAGCTTGCAACACTAGTAAACAACAAGTAGATCACTCATAACATCATTATTATTTTTAAATGTATTTTGATGCAATACCTACCTGGTTAGATACATGTACCTGTTATATTTGTTTTCTATATTACATAGATCAAAATATTTGAATATTTAATAATTGTATTTATTTATTAAAAAAATCATATTTTAGTGATGCACAAGCTTGTAGCTTTAACTTATTTTAGACACCATTTTAACAATATGTTGTTCATGTAAGACATTTTTTATTGTCAAATTCTAAGGAAATATGTAGGTATTTGATACAATAATCACAGTCCACATTTATCAATTGTATTTAAACAACTCACTACATTTTTGCCTAATACATTCTGAAATTAAACTATTTATTTAATAATCTTTTTTATGAAACAAATATTCTAATAAGGTAATTTAATGATATTAACATTTACCAATCATACACATACACTTACTATAACGAATATTAAAATACAAAATAAATTATTAACTATTATGATTGTTATTTAATAGTGAATGTCAATTTCATTATCTATACCCTCAGCCACCAAAATCTGATTAAAAACAATGAAAATATTAATTATTAAAATTAATCAACGAATCTAGTTTTTGCAGAATATTAAAATAAACACTATGGTAATAAAATAGTTTACACAAAGGTACATAATAATCTATTATATCTATAGTTTGTACGATACCTATGTAAATAAATATAAATGTTTCAATGTATGCATCAATGTTTGACATAACCAAAGTAAACTATTATACATTGTTAATCGAGAAAAAACATAATATGTAATTATCAAATGTGTGACTGTTTATACTTAAATACATATTATAAAAATAATTGAATTGATTCATAATATCACTATGTAACAAGTACAGGATGCTATGAACAGACTGCCAAGTAATTATTTATCAAATTAAATAATAAATATCAATTAGGCATGGTTAAAATATGACAATTTTATAAAAAGTATATATTATTGACTCAAAATGCAATCAATATAAATAAACTCAAAAATCGATTTTTCAGATATTGACTAAAAAAAAAATTCTTTAATAACACAAACAGTAAGCAAATACTGTTGAAATAAATATTATATCGGAATAAAAGAATCAAAAAATATTACCATTCCCTTTTTTTTCTCACGCAAATACATGGGATCGTGTATCCATCACACCTCCCTTCTACATACATACATATCACAAAAACCCCATTATACGTTCCTCATACCAATTTTCAGTTTGGTCTCAATTTATCGTCAATCAGATCATCAGATTCGTTGGCAGTCAGCCGGAAAAGTGCACGTTTTCCTAGTTATGCGTTAGAAACGTTCGAAACGTTCAACCGACAACGAACCAAGGTCACGTGAAATTCAAAATTAAGCATGCTGGGTGACACGTCTCCCGGAACTAATATAACGACTACCTACCAAAAATTTGACACCGGGGTGACGGCGAGGGCAGAAAGCGTGTAAGAACCCATCAACGTCATTTAGTGCGGCAGACGATGAGAAAAAGCGATACGACCAATAATTTATGTCGTGTAAATAAACGTGTAAATAGATAAAAGAAAAAAAAAGAAAAAAATGATACGCAGGCAAATATGTAACTAGCGTGCGGTCTCACCTATTCATTTATCGACCAATGGTGGAGACAATGACCGTTATGACGATGTAACGGCCGACGACCGTCGTTCCGTTTGATTTTGAATGGGCAACTGCTGAACGCTTCCGGCCGTCCTCCCGATGGCTAGGCGAACGGACATAGCATACTACATTACTATCCTAACGGACGTTTCGTACTTTCGTAGCGTTGATCACCGCCACCGAAATCTGATCGCGTCGAGTACTGCGGGTGGCAATATTGTGAATTTGTGATTGTGAATCGCTGCCGTCGTCGTGACGTTACGTGACTGGGACGCGGCCGGGCGTACAGCGCATTCATAAAAATATAAAAAACGTACGGAGTAACGAAATATTGTGGTTTTGTTATTGTTTTCTCAGGTTTTCGTTATTCTGTTTTTGTCCTACTGTTGTCTGTACGAACTACCGAGTGCCCATCGTATACGCTAGATGCTGCTAGCTGCTATTGTCCGACGACGGTTGGTATCTATCGGTTAGGGCACAGGCGTTCGCCGATTGGTCGACGTCGACGGCCGTCGCTGGAGATTGTATTCGGGACGTTTTTGTAACCACGATGTTCTAGTTCCGGTTGCGCAGTGTAGCCACTCGTCGACCACGCCAAATTCCCCAGGTGGATGAACTCCACGGGGTCACCAGAATGGTTGTTTGTTTTTGTTATTTGTTGTTGTTGTTGTTATGTCGAATGACGACTGTGGACAGTGCGGACTGATCAGATAGGTGGTCACTGAAGAAGTATGAACTTTAAGAGTTCCTTCGAGCTTTCTCAGTTTGTACTGTTTGTAGGTGCTACCGGCGCTGGGCGTGTAATGTTATGAATTATGATAAAATTGTCAAAAGCAGCAGCATCGTTTAAATTTGCTGAAGTTAATGGTGTAGGTATTTAAGCGTACAATCGTGCTTCGCAAACAGATTTGGGTATTATCACTATTATCCATGTATTGATGCTGATTGTTGATTAACTTTATATGTACAATGTAACTATTTAAGATATTGAATTATTTTTGTACCGCTACGAATATTAATCAATTATAATGATTATTGACTAAAAAAATTTTCCATGCGCTAAATTAATAATTCTGTAATTTTTGGCACAATAAAAAATGACTCAATCTTCAATATAATTCATATTAATATATTACATATAATACGTGATGGAAAAAATGAAAAATAGATAATAATAGATAATAGATTACAAATTTGAGATTTATTACCTTTGTATTATTTAGGGTGATTAGATTAAATTTTAAGAAATCCGGGACACCAAAATTATAAATTATTCTTCATTATAATAAAAATATTAATGGCAAGTTGTACAGTGTACATTTAAATGGTCAATAAGTTTAAGTTTTTTAATAAATGGAAAGTATTTTTGCAATTTTTCATTAAAATGACAATCTTTTAGACGACATAGTTACTATTTAATTAAACTACTACACTATAAAGTATAAATACGTACAAAACTATTGGTAAATTTTACATTCACGCGCAACTCGGTAATGTTGGCAAATACATGTGTATTGCGTATTGAGTACTGACTACTGATGCTGAAATATTAAAGTAGGTACTAAATAACAGTCAACTAAGTCAACAGACAACAGACAATTGAAGTCTGAGGTATTGAATAAACACTAAAAGCTATAGGTACATTGTACATTATTTTATTAGATTAATATTAATATTATCTTTCGTAATCGTAGTTCTCGAAATTCAAAAATCAAAACATGGTTTTTCCAAGACTATAAATTATTTATGTAGTTAAAAGCCAGTAGAATGACTTAATTTAGAAAGCGGTTTTTTACTGTCATTGATATACGTTCCTATGTTCGTTATCAAATATGTAATAAAAAATTAATAACTAATATTAACGATTAGATATTATTAAAAATGAAATCAGTAACCAAGACCCCCTTCTAGAAAAAAAAGGTTCAAAAGTAATAATAGGTACCTATAGTTATTAATTCATAACTGAAATATTGTATTTTTTATAATATTGTAAACTTTATTATCTTTTAGACTCCCCCTTCACAAAAAAAGTTGAAAATATGCCGCCGGTTTTGAGTGATAATACCTGATTTTCCATAATTTTTATTTTTGTTTTCCCAATATTTGAAAATATACTTAGAATTAACACTAGTGTAAAGTGTTACTAATCTATGGTTAAACAAAGTTATAAATTATAATAGTAAAACGTAGTTATTAAATAATTTTCTTTAATTATTTGACTAATAATAATTTAACGAACAACCTTTGTTAAGTAATTTTATTGTCAACTTGGTGGCCAGAGTCAAATGGGCCGATTGACTAACTTCTACTTTATAGAGGGATTTGTGGGATATGATGTTCCTTACGAGACAATCAAGTAGTCCTACTATAAAATATTGTCTCATTTCCATTTACCTGTTACCTACCATAATAGCTCTTTATGTATTATCATGTAACTTACACAAAAACCATAAAATATTTTCAATCTCTTCAAAAACTAAGTTCTAGCATATGACCATATAAGACAGATTTTGCATCAAAAACTAATAAATAATTAATAGTTTCCAGATTTAACAATAAATTTAAATGATCATAGCAATTATGCAGATTAAAATACATTTATAGAATTTGAGTAACCAAATTTTTATGAATAATAAATAAAATAAACCAAAACAAACATTAAAAAATTAAAATATTGAATTTATAATAAGACAATAAATAGCTGTAAGAAATTTCTAAATTTTGTCAATTAACTTATTAATATTAATTAATTTTTTTTTTTAATATATTTAAAATATACCAATACTACATAATAATTTAGCGATGTAAAATATTTTTATACATTAATTACCAGCTACCTACTTATATTTTATTTCAAAAAAATTATTAAAAGTATAATAACTACAATTAATTTTAACAAAATATATGACATCATTTAGCAAATATAATAATTTTATATTTAATTTATGTCTTTACAATTGTATGCATATATATTTTTTTTTACTTTATAATTTATATTTACATATTTTGATATAAAGTACCTATAGCAACTATAAATATAGTAATTATTAATTAATAATTGATAGTCTTAATGAAATTTAAGCAAAGGTGATCAAATATACCAGTTTTGGTTTTACAGTTGGGTAATGTTTTAATAAAGTATAATATAATAGTCAAATGATGGAAATAAACAAAAGACAAAAAATATCATGATTAACACATAAATAAACATCACTATAAAAAACAATAATAGCTTAAAATATTAAATATAAATCACATTTTAATAATTAAAAAAAAATGTTTTTAAATAAAACATTTAATATAATTATTACACTTATATTCTACAATTCAAGGCTAAATCATTGTTAATTTTGATATTGAAGATCATTAATTTGTTTTATTTTTATGCTAAATATAATTACATAATTATCAAATTTTAAAACATCTTGGAAAGGAGACAAACTACATATCTCAATGTTATAGCCTAATTCTTAATTAATAATAATTTATAAATTCCACAAAAAATATATCCTTAAGATGAATAGTTTTATATTTATTTATAAAATTTTTTTTAATAACAATTTTATCTTGCTCAAAAAAAAAAAAAAATTTAAATGTTTAAACACACATTATTAAACAAAAAATAAAAATACATATATTTTTAATTAACTTTTTGTTAAAAATATAATTAAAATTTAAAATTTTTGATTTATTTTCTATATTATGCTTTTTTAATAAGATTAACATTGTATTAATTATTATAATCGGGATCCACATTTTTTTTAAAATTTGTAATAAATCATCTACCAACTTTAATTAATAACTGGTTGAAATTATTAAACTGAATTTAGATATTTAGAAATAATAATATTTTTCAACAAAATTAAAATTTTTAAGTAAGTTGTTATAAAGAAATGTTGCATTTTTTTATTATTTAATTAAAAATAGGAATATAATAATAATCACAGTAACAGAACATAAAAATGATTTTACAAACTCAAATACTTTTACATAGCATCAAAATGAAATTTATGTGCTTCTTGACGTTTTTCAATACGATCTTCTTGACGTTCTTTAAAGTATAGCACTCCAATTATAACCAAAATAAGTAGGCATGTTCCTGCAAGCGCAGCTGCACTTTGAAATATTAAACGACTTGGTGTCACAAACAATTTAGCATTCCATCTACTTGGATCATTAATTGGATTTGGAATTACAACCATTTGGGAATTTGGGATAATTTGTGTCCAAGAACGGGTTTCATTTAAAACCGAAACAGTTAGTTCATCTACAAAGTTCGGTGTACGGCCAAGTCCAAATATTGTGTAAGGCAAGTAAAGAGAATAATATGCAGACTGGGGTAATTGTGTAGCTATACCCTGACGCGGATATCCATCTTGAGTAGTAGTTACATAACTAACTTTTGGTCCAGGCAAGTTAGTACCAAATGTACGAGATTTTTTTCCTAATCGACTTGGTAACATTTCATATTTGCTATTTGTTAAACCAGTAACCACCATTACCTATAAATAACAAAATAAAATAAACAACCTATAAAATTTTTTAAAAATATTTACTTACTTTCAAAAAATTTGCATCGTAATCCAAACTGTTTTTAAAAGCTGACATGTTGTACTCTCCATTACTTCCACTAACCAACAAAACGTCTAATATACCATTTTGAAAAAAGTCATAAAATGCTCCCATAATGTTGTTATTGTCACCATTCATTGCTTGAAGTAAATCCCATCGAACAACAAATGTTCTGTCAAACCCATCACAACCTGTCGTACATGCAACATTTTCCATTAAAATTACTTTCGTTTTTTTAGAATTGCCTCCAAGACACAATGTGCCTAATAAATCAGGATAGCCATCCATATTGAAATCTCCAGGGCGCACTGTGATTGTTTCTAGGTATGGTACATTAGGCATTGGTGGTACAAATCCCCAAACACTATTACCATTATGGAAATTTATGCCTAAATTATACCAGCGAGTTGAATCATAAAAATAAATAGTGCTATTGGTACATTGTGAATCAAAACAAACAGGAACAATATGATCCATGCGTCCTTTAAGTTGTAAATCCATGAAAGCAGTTTGACCAACATTTGATACCTTTAAATTGTCAGGAAATGAGATTGTTTGATTAAAAACAAATGTACCAGCTTCAGAATCAGAAAGCCACACTTCATATCCTTTTGTAGTTGTTAAATATAAATCAGGTGCTACATCTGAAAATAAATAAATAAGTATTAAGTATAAATTAGGAAACAATGTTCAAATTAACCAAGTGTATTATTAAATAAATCTTTTGAAATAATATTTTTAGCACATCTTAGTACATTATTATAATTGAAAAAAAATATTAAATTACTTTTTATTAATCAAAGTTTTAAACAAATACATTAAAATATTATATTATTTTT